CATTCCTGCCCAGTTCTTCCTAGTGACCATCCCAACTGTCACTCAGACCACGGAACCTGCAACTGGCCAATCAGGAAACCCAAATGTAGAGGTAAGTCCTGAATGCCGGGCGTGGCCAGCGAACTACCCACCCAAGGGAGTAAGGGAAGGCTCTTGACTTCTGTCCAGTCGGCCGTGTGCAGGTCGCGCTCTGTTCACTCAGAGTCCCAAGGTGTTTCGTTTTGGACTGTGCGCGCGAGCTCGGAGTACGGTCCAATCACTGCGCGGAAGCTCGGACTATCGTCCAATCAGACCCGGGGGCGGGCGCAGTCGCAGCCCTTAACGCCCGGCCCGCGCGGCCCATACCATTTCACTCGCCCGCGGCTCCGCTAGTGCGGTCAGGTACCTCTCACCTGCCCGGGTGGAGGACGAGGGGTGGAGACTCCGGAGAGCCTGGAGCTCGGCCTAGAGATGGTGAGTGCGCGGGATCGACGGTCGAGATCCTAAGGGGCTGCTTCGAACTGCCCGGAACAGGCTGGAAGCGGCTGCGGGCCCAGTGCCCGGGCGCCCCATGAGACCCTGCCTGGAGATTTCTCCTTTGGCAGCGGGGAGGGATTCCTGCGCCCTGTCCCGTCCCCACGTGTGGATCCCGGAATGCGGACCCCAGTCTGCGAATGGGCTGTGGGATGGGGAGGATAGGACCACCACCAGATTGGGTTGCCTGCAGGGACAAGGTTCAGAACGTAGAGATGTGACTCGCATAGGAGTCCTTGCCCCTCTCGAGGTAGGACTCAATGGAGCGTGCGACACCGTTGTGCCGAGGTTGATTAAAGCGAAAGCTGATGCAGCAAGGGAGCAGGCTCCGAAGAGGGTGGAGGTGGCTTAGAGGGTTGCAGGTACAACGCGTTTGCGGGCACCCAGAGCTGGGGGACCGTCCCATTCCTCCTTCCGCACCTCCCCCACACGCGTAGAGGCAGTTGCCCTTCAGCGCATGCGCAGCGAGAATACACACGTCTAGACTGGCCAGTTTCTTTAGCTTCTTAAGCCTCCCCCCAGGGGCCGGCATTTAACTATGGTAATGAGGACAGGTCACCCCAAGGACGGGTCTTTAAACTGCTGCACAGGCGGGCGTGAGGCTTTTCTTTAACTACATCACCTCTTTGTGATCACTGTTGCGTCATTCCGTGTTACCAGTGTGGGAGGGTATGTCTCAAGGTTGCGCCCCCCAGCGGCAGGTGTGGGCCACGTGAGTACCGACCTCACAGCGGTGCCCGCGACTCAAGTCAGACAGAGAAGGGCTTTCTTTTCTGGGTAGAAGTGTGAGCAGAACAGCAGTGTAACAAAGACCGCCCTCCAGATACTGAGCACGTCCCCGGCTCGGGTCCGCAGGGATTGCGGTGCATCTCGGTGCTTGTTCCGATGAGGGGGTGCAGTGAGCTCGGACTGAGGGCACTGAAGACCGAGTCAGGCTTGGATAAAAGATAGGATATTGCAATCACGTGGTGAAGCCTGTGGCGTATGAAAAACTCCTGCTTTGCGGGAGAGACTTTCCTGTAAAGGAATTACTAAAAGGGGCGGGGCTGCGAGTGGGAAGGGCGCGCGGACCACGCGACTTGCGGTGTCTTCAGAGTTGGTTTGATAGAGGAGGCCACACACTGGAAAGGAGCAGGTGTGGCTGGGATGGCAGGTCCCTGAGGTCAGCGTGGACACAGTAGAGGCCGTCCCCTGGCTGGGTGAAGGTGGACCGTGATCAGGGTTTGGGGTTAGGAGAAGCTGAACCAATGTCTGGTCAACAAGCATCAGTTCTGCCTGGTCCTTGGAAACGATCAGTTCACCTAATCATAGATGAGGCTCAGAGTGGACAGGGAGGCAGGCTAGTGTCCTGTCCTGGATCAGCGGGGCCTCTGTGAATCTTCTCTGAGTTGGATGGGGAAGGGGTTCCTGCAGCGAGCCCCGATTTAAAACAGAGGGGTGGGGGTGGGTTCATCTCACCTGCATCAGCGATTCCTGGAGCACAGGGCTCAGCAGGATTCAGTGTTGTCAGCTAACCCCTGAGCGCAGTGCCCTGTGTCCAGCTCTGCACTGAGTGGGCACAAGCTGCACCTAGAGCTGGTCCTGGGTGGGAGATGAAGGAAGATGCAGTGGGATCTTGCTGGACGCCTCGCCCTGCATGTGGCCTCAAGCCACCCAGAATCACCAGGGAGGAGCTGTTTGTCCTGAGAGAAGCCACAGAGTTTGGGATAGAATGACTCACCTGCATGAGGACCAGAATGGTTTGTCCTCTCTGAGGTGTGGATGGATGCCTTGGGGCTGTTTCTAAACCATTGGTTGATTTTTCACCCTAAGATTTAATAATAATAATAATAATGCAAACACCGGTGGTCTCCCCGCCCAGTGAACAGCTAGGCCCTAGGCAGGTGTTGGCATCGCCACCTTTTGTGTGCTTCTGTTAAATTTCATGTGTGTCCCCTGGCCAGGGAGACCACATCCTTACTCTGTTATCCTTCCTACCTTTACCATTTCTCATTCATCACCCAGCAGCGTGTTGCTTGATTCTGCCTCTTACACTTCCAATAAGTGAACGTCACCAGCAACACAGCATTGACGTCACACGGTAACTTTTCTGTGACCCTCAGTCCCCGTCTGTTTCACATGTGCTGGTGTCTGAGACTCGGTCCCCAATTGACTCATTCATTTTTGTGCTTGTGTGGCCTCGATTCTGTCAGAGTATTTTTGATTAGTCATCTGAGTTACTACACCTTCTCTGTTTTTTTTTTCTCCTACTGCAAACTGTGATGTAACTTTCTTCACTTCGAGACAAATGCTGGGGTTAAAGGTTATGAACAAATTTAGAATTATAGTGTAATGGTGTATTGATTCCCCACACACCTCTCTTTCTGATGCATTCATCTCTTCAGCCTCATTTCCAGCACTTAGAATTACCTAACTTCATTTCCATCCATCTAGTATGTGACCTCGTGGTGATGTATAGTTTCTACAGATCAGCATTTGGGCAGCACATGTGGAGTTTCACCTTCTGTGATGCAGTCCTCAGTCTCTGGGGGCCTTTATTTCATTATTATGTATATTGTTTTCTGATTTTTTTTTTTTATAGATGCTCTGGACAGTAATGAATCCCTTTTCACGTTCAGACTCTACATATTTCCTGTTTTTTTTATTTGTCTTTTCACTCTATTCTGTGCTGGTGAATGGACTCTTAATGTTAGTAGAAGTGAACTTGTCCATCTCTTCCTTTGAACCTTGTTCTTTTCTTTTTTATATAAGAAACTTGTTGAGTAAGTCATAGACACTTGACTCTGACTTGTTCTGAAAGTGTTCTACACTTAAATCTGCATCAAGTTGGTTATTTCACATCAGGTTGATAAGAAAGACATTGATTGTCTTCTGTCAAAAACCGTTTTTATCCCTGCGTTAACGTGTCCTTCGATCGCAGCCGGCGTCTGGGCTTGATCCAGCAGAGATTCCTGCCCACAAGTCGTCCTGTGTCAGAGACTTTAATTTTTGTCCATGGGTCCCTTTTCTGCTGTAGTGTCCTGTCTCTGTCACTCTTTGGATTTAATTGTCTTCGTGAGTTTTAGGAAAAGTCCTTTCACTTCTTTCTGTATAGATGTGGCCATTCTTAGACACTCGTTTGTCCTTTTAGTTTTAAAAATGGTTTATTATAATTTTAAAAACAAGTAATGCTGACTTTGTGTTGGATTTACTGTTATTTTATTAAAGGTCTTCATCTGTTTGGGCAGGTTAATATCATGGAAGCATTGAAGGTTTTTTTTTTTTCCAGAGATCATGTCTAATTTTTTAATTTTTGTTTTATGTCATTCATTAATGTCGTATAATGTTTTATTATAATTTTATATCCTTTGGTAAACTTTGTATTGGAAAAGTCTACAGTATTTTCCCAGTGTCTTCCTTTTTTACTTTAACATAGACACCTTACCTCTGACAATTTTGGTCACCAGATTACAGAGCGTTTGCACGCAGGAAGCAGTGCTGTGACACCAGCCAAGTGTCCTACATTTTAACTCAATTCCGACACTAACTGGTGGAGTTTATCAATGCAGTGAATTATTTCTTTATTCATTTTCAGCCCCTTTTTGCTCCTTGGAGGATGTGATTAGGTCTGAATATTTCACCCTTCTACTTTTGGTTGGGTCTCTTTGGTGACAGCCCCCTTCCAGGAGCCACCCATAGTCGCCTCATGAAAACCGAGGGTGCTACCAATGGTCTCATTACTCCCTACTTTTCAGGGCCTTCAGAAGCCTCGGCACCTCAGGAATCAGGAGCAGAGTCCAGTGCTTATGTTTTCTATTATATCAAAGATGTTCTTTAGAACTAAAAGAAAACGTGTGACAAATTGAAAAGTTTTCATCAGAGTTGGTTTTCATCATCTAGATTACCTTTAAATATTTTTAACTGTTTCTAGTGATTGCAAGTGAATCGTGATTTATTTTTAAATCATCTTTGCATTCTGGAGGCTCCCTAAATGTCGTATTGTCTGCTTCTCTTTTTATTTTTTGTACGTCTTCCATAATAATACTTTGAGTTGTGAATATAGCCAACTTACTCTATGTTTCTACATCTCATGTGTTTTTTTGTGTGGTATCTGGATGGTGTCTCTAATGAGGGGTAACGTAATGGGTCTACATTTTTAACCTAATTTTGGGGTAAGGGTCTGACTTTCATCCGTACGTTCTTCAACGATCACGTCTTATTAACGTGTCCTTCCACAGGTGATGCAGATTCCCCCATTTCTCAACTGCTAGGGACTTTTATGGCACTAGGGCACTTGTTTTTGTTCATCTCTTTGGGCGTTGTGCCATAGCTCCTTTAAGGTGGTATCGTGATAAGTTATCGATTTCATAGCGTTTATCTGTAAAATGTAGTGTGTGGAGAAAGTGTACTCACAATGCACAGCCACCTACACAATGTGAAGTAAATGTCCGTGTGAGGACAGCCTGGCCGTGAACTAGACAGAGCCCTCACACCAGACACCGCACTTGAGATGGATCCCAAGACAGGCCTCCTCCCCCGGGTGAATGATGCGTCCGTGCGCCATTTTGTTTTCAGTCCCTGGTTAGTTTGTGTCAGTTTTCAGTCGTTTGGTCTTCCGTGAAATGGAAAGTCATTCACTAGTATCGCTCCCTCATGTTCCCTGTTAAACCGGAAGCATTTTCATGTCTTGATTCCACTGCTCGTGGCAACGTGATGACGTCGAAGTTTTCTATGATGACAAGTACCTCTAATGACATTATTCACATCTTGTGCATTTGGATTTTGTAGGGTCAGCTCAGATTTTTCACATGGATCCCTGCCCATTGCCCTATGCCCTGGTTCATGTGTGCTCTTCCGTATTAGGGCTTTTTAGGAGGCTAGGGGTTGATTCACCGCATACTGGCAACCCAATAGATTGAGGCATCAGGTGATACCACCTGCGCCAAGAGAATAAGGAAAAAGATAGCTGTCTGTGGAGACCGAGGCAGATGTGAGCTCTGCAGAAGGCCAGAGAGAGAGTGGGTGAGGCCTCTGTTGTGGCTGATGCTGGGGTGTGTGTGGTTTGACCCACTGACCCCATGATCACAAAACATGGGGCACATTTGGGCCATCTTATCGCTTGGCCTGAAGTGGCCCAGGTAGGGAGGAGGCTGGTGTCGGAGAGCTGTGACTAGTCAGACTGCAGTCCCACCCCAGATGCAAGCCTCCCCATTAGAATTCTCCGCTGATGTTGGCTCGATACTGACACAGGCGTCATCTCCTTTAATGGATAATGAACTTGTCTGAATGCGAATTTTAGAAAGCCAAGTGCACAAGGGGGATGTATTTTAGTGAAGATTAGCAGGCTTTGGACTCTGCTCTTTTCAGGAAATTAGAGAGAGGAATGAAAACATGTCAGGAGTCTGGGCTCTGCGATGTTTTAGGTCCACTGTTAACTGGTGTATTGTGCTGCCTCATTGCTGAGTTTTTGTGCCATTTTGTCCTTGTCCCTTCCAGTAGCAGAAGAGCTCGTATGTAAATAGAAGAAAACAGCAGAGGGTTTCTGAGCGTGTAAAGGAATCTGTCCTGAGGGACATTTACATTTGTTATACTCCTGGAAGGAGGCTCAGAGCCACAGGCGAGGGCCTCTCTCTCTGGATTGCAACAGAGGCTGGGAGGGCGGAGCCAGGGATCTCTGAGAGGGCTTCTGGTTTCAGACGCTGACTCGGTCATGTGGAGGCTGCCAAACCTGAGCGTCCTCACCCTAGGAGAGATTTTCATGTGATACCATGACGAATTGGACAGTTATTAATAACAGAATGGGATTCTCGAATGTGTCAGTTTCAGACTGTACGGTTCTCTTAATGTAAATAATACACGTTTGAAGACCAGGGTAGGATTTTGATATTGTGACTTATAAGAAATAGATATGTTTAATTATTCAGATAAGCAAACTATAGTCTGCAGACATATTTGGGTTTGGTCTGCAGACATATTTGGATTTGGTCTGCAGCTCTGGCTCACAGCTCCCAAACACGTGGGATATCCTCTTTTGACAGGAACGAAGGTATCCTTTGTCATGTTGTGATGACTTAGAAAGCACCCGAGGATGGCCCCTGTGGAGCCAACATGTGTTTATAGGGTTGCAGCTTTCAGTCCCTCCTCCTGACATCTAGGGACAGAATGTGGGCAGCTTTAGGGGTTGGTAACAGGTGCAGGTGTGGAGAGAGGGGTGCACCGGGGAGGAGCGGATGCTCTGCAGAAGGCCCCACAACTTGCCCCGTCCCCACAACTTGCCCCGTCCATCTCTTCCAGCTGCTGTCCTGTCCTGGAATTATCATCTTACACAAAACAGGGATCTAGTGCGTCATGCTTTTGTCTGAGTTTTATGAGCCTCTCCAGCCAATTACTCTAATTCTAGGGGAAGAGTTGTGATATTTTTCCTTTATAGGCAGTCAGGTGGCAGAACAGGTGACAGCCTGGCCTGAGGCTGGCCTCTACTGTGGGGACAGTTGGATATACAGGCTTCTAGGAGAGAGCTGTCACCCTGTAGCATCTGATGCCATATCCTGGTGGACAGTGTGAGCATTGATTGGATTCTGACACTCAGCTGTTGTTCTGACAGTACCGGGTAGAAGTGTGATGTACCACCTCCCACCATCAAAACAGCGTCAGAACACAATTTCCGTGTAATGTAAATATTCATTTCCCACAAGTGCTTTTTCATATCTCAACCTGCTCGATCTCTGGAACATCAGTAATGTTGTTTCCTTTACTTGCTAAATATCTATTGGTTTTCATAAAAATTACCATGAGTTTAAGAATGATATGTTCGTAGTGTATCTGAATTTGTTTTTTTTTTCAACATCTGTAATTGAGATATAATTTAAATTACCAGCAAGCTTACCTTTTATAAAATTTAATGGCGTTTAGTATATTTGCAGAATTGTACCACTATCCTCTTGTTCTCATGTTAGTAAAACTTTTTCACTGCCTGAACAGAAACCAAACACGTGCTGGCCGTCACTGTGCCTTCACTAAACATTCCCTTGGTTCTCGGCACTTTATTAGCCTTCTTTTTATCGAGTGGCTTTCTCTGTATGTTTCACCTAAGTGACATCATGCTCTGTGTGGTCTTTGTGAAGCCCGGTAGTGCCCTTAAAGGTCCTTGACTTCATGCCATGGGTCGTCACTTTGTTCTTCTTACCATCAAACATATTCCATTGCGTGAATGTCTTACATTTTGCTCATGGAAATCTCTGGATGGAGTTTTCAGTCGTTTCAGTTTTTGTCTGTTACAATTTGTGCTGCTGTGAGTATCTGCATTAGTTGTTTTTGTTGACGTTTGTTTGCATCTCCCGAGTGTGTACTCACCTTGGAGTGGAACTGCTGTGTTATGTGGTCACCACACTCATCATTTTGAGTACTTATCGGACCGTTTTCTGATGTGCCTTATCCACTTTCCTTTCCATCAGCCGTGTGTGAAGGCCTCATGTTCCTCACATTCTGGCCATTGCTGGTCTGTCTGTCTCCACAGTCATCCTAGTGGTGAGAACAGGTATCGGCTGTAGTTTTGGTTTGCATTTTTCCCGATGACTAATGTCCAACATCTTTCGTGTGCTTGTCAGCCATTTGTATTTGTCTTTGGAGAAATGTCTGCTCACATTTTTTTGGCCTTCATTTAATTGTTCCTTGTATTTTATATGGTGGTCTTTTATTTTATTGTTTCATGTGAAGTTTTTCTGTCAATTTTCAGAGCATCTTTTAAAAAAATCTTTATCATCATTTTCTTGTTTTTTTGTTTTGTTTTGTTTTTTGTTTTTTGGTGTGGTGTCATCACATGTTGCTCCAAAGATAATAGTTATATTTTTCTGCTGATAAAATCTTCTTTGATTTTATAATCTTTTTATCATTTAGTGATTCTTCTTGGTAGGATCATTTACTCACATTTTAGACTGTTGGTTGTTTGTATGAGACACCCTGTTGGCTCGATAGATTCTTCCGGGATCAGGCATATATTTTACCATCAGGCCCTGGTCTGTGTCAATTCCCACAGTGTCCACCTCTTCCCAGGAGGGGTGGGGTCTCTGCCTCTGTCAGATATGAGGGGACTAGATCAGATCTCGATGCTGATGACTTCCAAGGCGAGAGTTGTTCCAACGAAGCTGCCTTGGATGTCTGCGTGTTCACATCTAGACATTCTAGTTCCAGGTTTTGATTTGGAAAGGAAGCATATTTTGAGTTATCCAAATATCTATTTTTGTTATCTGAATGACAGTTTTATAGTTTGTCATTATTTTATCTCAGACCCTGTATGTTTCCGGTAAAATCTTTCTTACCATTATGCGTGGACAGGTCCATATCAGTTGTGGTTTTCACACTATTATTCAGGTTTCCACACTCTACCATCTCTGAGTGTATGTCATTTGGTTTACTAGTTTATTATCATTTCCCATGTGAATATGAGCTCAGATGTCCTAGGAATTGAGTCCTGGTCCCTGACTCTCACCCTCTCCCTTTCTCTTACACATATTGGTAAAGAGGTGTCTTGTTGAATCAGAATATGTGGGATGTTTTAGGATGTGGTGGTCTTTGCCGACGTGGCTGTGAACTTCACCCGGGAAGAATGGGCTTTGCTGGATAATTCTCAGAGGAGGCTGTACCGAGATGTGATGCTGGAGACCTGCCGGAACCTGGCCTTCGTGGGTAAGGACGGCTTCTCTTCTTCGTTTAGATTTCACGGGAGACGTTGTAAGAAATATAACGTTTATTTCTACTTGGGGTATGTGGATGAAAATATGTTGAACATAACACAGCTATAATTCAAGACATGGTTTATACCTGAATCAAACGGCTTTTCCATGAAAAAAGAAGTCCCATGTATTAACCTGTTTGTTTATTCCCTTGATCAAGGCTGAGGTATCTTATTTTACGTGTGAGCCTCACCTAGTGTCACTTTGGGTTCTTGAGAGCAGCTTTATAGTTATGCCCCTCTGGATGTCACACTGTGGTTATTTCATATTTGACATGGTGATTTTGCTGTATTTAAACTCACACTTACCCAACGTCACTGGTTTTGACGGTCATAGTATCTTATTATCTTCATTGAGTGTTCATTGCCCTCTATTCTCCTCTAATTAGCTTTTTGAAGGAGCAGGGCAGTCAGTAGTCAAGCACTATTTGATGTTCCAGTGGTAGCTGGGGACCGTGAGTAATGCTTCATCTAAAACCTCTGGTGTCTGTGACACCATGAAGGAAACAACCCAGAGAAACAACAGGTTCTCGTAACAGAATGGTATTTGCACATGTCCGTTGAAAACATGACTCCCTGTGTTTGAGAAAAGTGATATTTGTCACATACCTCTCTTTCTGTTGGACTTTTCATGTATTTTAAACGATTCAGAAAGCCTTTATCCCCTCTTGTGATGAGATCATTTGGACATGTGCATTTTGGCCAATTTTTTCCTTGATGGCATTTTCGATTATATTTACCTGAATACCAGTCTGCATATTTTCAAAAGTATTTCTTATTAAACAGGTTACCATTTTGACTCATTTAACTTATTTTCGCCAGAGTCCCAAACACACAACATCCTCAGTTCTTTTGTTTGTTTTTGCTCGCTTGTCATTCATCTTTATAACATTCATTAACATTTTGGATCAGCATATAAATACAGAGAGATTATTTTCTTTTTTCCCACCATTCTATTTACATGGAATTAATTTATTCTATCGATATTTGCAGGTTGTTACACTGAAGTTAAAATCTCTGGATCATGTTCTCAGAAGAATATTTTGGACAATAACATAGCCAATAAAGAGAAAACAGTAAGATTTACAAGAAATGATTCTTGGTCAGTTTGGGGTGAAAACCAGACACTTAATGACAATGGAAATCAGCCTGTAACCCAGGAGACGCCGTGTAGGTGAGTGGCACTCCCACAGGAGCAAGGGGAATATCTCCAAGTGTTAAACTAAGTTAAAACAATTTTTCAAATGTATATAAATTTTGCTAAACAATTGTGTACCCAGAGAATTTTCTCAAGACGTTTTCATAAATGTGATATAGATATTGAGCTTCTGTTAAGCTATTCAGTTAGAAAGAATGATGAGGAAATATCATGTGTAAGAAATCTTGACTGTTTTGTCCCTCTTTGTGCCCCCAGCAGGAGCACTAATTTTTTTAGGATGTCACAATGCAGAGGTTCCCACAAGCATACCCATTTATTGGAAATGGCAAATATGTATTTAAAATAATTATTTACTGTATTCATCAGCCAGTAATAAATCACTTATGATTATTAACCTGTAATTCTGTATTTCATAGTTTTAACAGGAATCATTTACTGGAGAACCTCCGTGAAACTAGTAAAGGTAGTCAATGTGGAGACACCTTGAATGCAGTTACAGATCATCCCCTGCATGAGAAACATGTGAACAAAGTTAATGTTTGTGAAAGTACCACGTCTGGAAAAGTCCCCGTGCAGTGTTCATCTTCTCAGAATCGGGATAAATCTCAAACAGGATACAGACCTAATTCAAGTGAAGAAAGTGGCAAAGTCTTGAGGTTTTCTTCATCCCTGCAAGAACATGTGATCACAGGCATGGGAGACAAACCATATGTGTGTAAGGAATGTGGAAAATCCTTTTCTTGTCCATCCAAACTTCAAGTCCATGTTAGAATGCACACTGGAGAGAGACCCTATGAATGTGAGCAGTGTGGAAAAGCCTTCCGTCAGAGATATTACCTTCAGTATCATGTGAGAATACATACTATGGAAAAACCCTATGAATGTAAGGAGTGTGGAAAAGCCTTCCACCTTTATGCCTCCTTTTGGAGACATGTAATTTCACATACTGGAAAGAAACCCTATATATGTGACCAGTGTGGGAAAGCCTTCAGGCTGCGAGAATGGCTTCAGTCGCATGTGAGAACACACACTGGGGAGAAACCCTATAAATGTAAGGAGTGTGCAAAAGGTTTTTCTACATTGTCTTCTTTACGAGGTCATGTGAGAACGCACACAGGGGAGAGACCCTACAAATGTAAGGAGTGCGGAAAAGGTTTTTGTGCATCCTCATCTTTACGAAAGCATGTGAGAACACACTCAGGAGATAAACCCTACAAATGTGAGCAGTGTGGAAAAGCTTATAGTCAGCGATACTCTCTTAAATTACATGAAAAAAAAATACACACTGGGGAGAAACCCTATGTATGTAAGGAATGTGGAAAAGCCTTCAGGCATTATTCTACTTTCCATACACATGAAACAGCACATACTGGAAAGAAACCCTATGAATGTGAACAATGTGGAAAGGCCTTTTGGTGGCAACGTTACCTACAGACACATGTGAGAACACACACTGGGGAGAAACCCTATGAATGTGAACACTGTGGAAAAGCCTTTGGTGGACGACGCTATCTCCAGAGACATGTGAGAACACACACTGGGGAGAAACCCTATCAATGTGAACAGTGTGGAAAAGCCTTTGGTATGCGACGCTACCTTCAGACACATGTGAAAACACACACTGGGGAGAAACCCTACAAATGTGAGCAGTGTGGGAAAGCTTATAGTCATCGAGTCTCCCTTAAGTTACATGTACAAAGACACACTGGGGAGAAACCATATGAATGTAAGGAGTGTGGGAAAGCCTTCGTGCATAATTCCACCCTCCATGCTCATGCCAAAGCACATACTGGAGAGAAACCTTATGTATGTGGACACTGTGGTAAAGCCTTTAACCATAAATCAATTCTCTATAAACATGTAAGTGCACATACTGGAAAGAAACCCTATGAATGTGAATGGTGTGGAAAAGCCTTCTATCAGAGATACTCACTTCAGTCACATATGAGAATACACACTATGGAGAAACCCTATGAATGTAAAGAGTGTGGGAAAGTGTTCCGCCATCAGTTCTCCCTTCGTAGACATGCGATCTCACATACTGGAAAGAAACCCTATGAATGTGACCAGTGTGGGGAAGCCTTCACACAGAAATCCTCCCTTCAGTCACATGCAAGAACACACACTGGGAAGAAAGTCTGTAAATGTAAGGAGTGTGGGAAAGGCTTTTCTTCTTTGTCCTCTTTACGAGGTCATATGAGAACGCACACAGGGGAGAGACCCTATAAATGTAAGGAATGTGGAAAAGGTTTTTGTTTATCCTCTTCTTTGCGAAAGCATGTGAGAATGCACTCAAGAGATAAATCCTGCTAATATGAGCAGTGTGGGAAAGCCTTTTACTGTAAATCTACCTTTATAAACATGGAAGTGCACATACTGGAAAGAAACCCTATGAATTTGAACAGTGGAAAAGCCTTTGGGCAGCAATGGTACCTTCAGACATATGTGAGAATACACACTATGGACAAACCCTATGAATGTAAAGAGTGTGGGAAAGCCTTCCATCATCAGTCCTTCTTTTGCAAAAATGCAGTTTCACATACTGGAAAGAAATCCTATGAATGTGACCAGTGTGAGAAATCCTTCGCACAGTGAGTCCCTTCAGTCGAATGTAAGTATGCACACTGGGGAGAAACTCTAGGCTTTTCTTCTTTGTCCTCTTTACGAGGTCATATGACAATGTACTCAGGAGATAAACCCTACAAATGTGAGCATTGTGGGAAACCTTATAGTAATTGAGTCTCCCTTAAGTAACATGTAGAAATACACACTGGGGAGAAATCGAATGAATGTAAGGAGTGTGGGAAAGCATTAACGCATAAGTCCACTCTCCATGCACATGCCAAAGCACATACTGGAGAAAAACCTTATGTGTATGAGCACTGTGGGAAACTCTTGAACTGTAAATCAATTCTGTATGAACATGCAAGTGCACGTACTGGAAAAAAACTATGAATGGGAACGGTGTGGAAAAGCCTTTGGGTGACAAGATCACGTGAAAATATACACTTGGGAGAAACCCTATAAATGTGAGCATTGTGGAATGCATTCACGCAATGAGAATCCTTTCAGGCACGTACAACAATACACACTGAAACCCTATGAATGTCAGCATTGAGGGAAAGCTTTCAGGTTTTCCACATTTCTGCAAAATCATTTGATGATACAATTCTGAATACAAGTACTGTAGAAGAACCTTTCTCCCTTAAAATCTTATGATCAACATGAACAATCGCACTATCAAAAAACTTTATAACTGGAAAGAATGTAGGCTACCCTTCAGCATTTCACTTATTTTTGTACATGGAAACTCAGCAGAACAGAACTCTAATGATACAAATAAAATTTGCCTCTGTAAGTGCCTCATTGTTAATAGGTACCCACTGTATTTCTAGCTCATATTGCTGATCTAAACTCTTTATGTATATATCCTTCACCTCTTCTTCCATCTCTACTACATTTATTATGTTTAAGTAACTGTCCAATTACATAAAACTTGCCTCATTTCTACTACAGTTTCTTATGGACTCTGATAAATGGGGTTTTGTTTGTTTTTATGTGCAATTTGATGTACTTTTAGATAAAAGTTTATTTCATTCTCACTTTTGTTACATTTCTAATATGTGAATCTTACATGAGACGTATATTGTCGAAGTTACTGTTCTGGTCCACTGCTGCAGATACTAGAGAATTCTGACTCAATTTCTATCCTCCCTTTTAGATTTTATAGCCGAAAGACATATCTCTCACATTTGTTGCTAGCGACAGCCACACGTGTTCTTTGCAGAAGTTAGTAATTGTGGAAAGATTTTAGAGCAGACAGTCACATGAGATTATGTTCACAATTTGGTCTCTGTTCATTGTTTTTAATCTTGATTGGACTTAGGCTGGATGCATTGTGTTGCAAAGAGAAAGCTTCAGACACAGAAGTGAAAGCTGGTGTTTAGATGTTTCCACAAATTGTGTAGTCACACTTAGTGAAGTGGGAACCTTTATCCATTGTCCTGCTCTTTTTACTGAGGTAAAAATTATGAGAAGAAAGAGTAATATGATGTTTAGAGGGCAGTTATAAGAAGTCATGACTTCCAGTTCTTTTATACCATCAGGACACATTGATGCATTGAAACGTATTTGGCCAGAGTTACAGCACATTTTTTTTTAAACCTCTTTGCTCTACTTGTCTGGAACAGTTTCATCTAAAACCATGGTTGGTATTTGTTTCCTCTTAGGAGATTGCACAGTCTATTTCACCACCATGGACCTTCTGTGGTTTCCACGCTCACACAGGGCATTGCATTTCTTTGTAGCTCTTTGTTGTCCATTAAGTCACCAGGACAGCAGACCATTCTGGAGCCTTATTTAAATGTATTCAATCATAGAACAGGACTTTACTCCACTGGATAATAAAATGTTACTGTTAAAATAAGCTTCTGTTTTCAACATTCCGTTTTTTTAACGGCCATGCTTTTGAAGGTTTATAGTGGAGGCGAAAATTCCATTCAGAGTCATTTTTTCCCGTCTTCCCCGTCATAATATTTTAAATGTGACCCCTAACCACTGTCTATCCAGCAAGGATATTCATACATGTTAGTCAGCTTTTCCAACCACCTAACAGTGGCATTCTGGTCTGTGTGACTCCACAAAAAAGCGTGGATTGGGCCACATTCAGTGTCCACACGAACTCCAACATATTTAGAACCATGACTCACAGGGAATGGGCCTGACACATCAATTTGTGACTCAAATCTGGTTGTTGGACCAAGGCTGTTTTTGCTGTTGTCTTGACCTTTGTTTAGAAAACACAGGAAACATTAAGTCACTATATTTCAAGGGCAGTCAGCATCCCTGGCAATAGGCAGTCCCACGTGGGCACTCTGGTGGCCACCCTTTCTGTGCGCCCTATCTACTGTACCTACTGAAGGGTCAGCTTTAAGGGCAAATGCCTGGGCCAGGACATAAACTTCCTAATGGACTAGGGGTGAAAGTGCCTTATGAGCCTGGACGTGGACAACAGGACTGGTTCAGACTTCTGCAAGTAAACACAAATGTCTCCTCACACATGTCATTGCACATCCAGCCCTCAGCTTCCCATTGAACAAAATCCTGGATCGATTGTTTTGAAGCAGCACCGTTGTCAGTGCAGAGAAAGAACTTCCAGGGCTTTGGGTTGTTCATCAGCCAGATGGCTCTGCCTTCTGCTCAGTGAATGCTATGCTTCTTTCCTCTGTGACACACCTCACCTGGGGAGCACCGTGGATGCCGCTTGGAGCTGTTCCTGTGTGTTCCTGTTCCTGTGTGGGCCAATCTCAGTTTCTTGTCTCTTCCAGAGCCGGGACCCATCCAAGGGGCACTGTCCCCTGCTGTCTCTGCCCCAGCGCCTGGCCCACACCTTCCGGAGTTGCACACACGTGGAACTCAAATGGTAGTCCTGCCAAGGAGATGTGCAGAGCTTTAATCACCATGACCAGTATTGCTACTTCTCTCAAAGGTGGCTAGCTGCTCTGATTCCAGTCACACGTGTGCTCTCTCTTTACTGGGTAGCATAAGGGACAGAGACACTTTTAGGTGGGGAATTAAACTGCAAAACCCCAATGTGAAGCTTGCACCCCTTTCATGTTTCAGGGTTGGATGGGCTGCACCTTGTCAAATTCCTGGGGCTGCACACATCATGTGACCAAGGATTTGCAAACCTTACGGTGGTGCCTGGGCTTTGAATTTTTTCTGGGTTCTCAGCCCATCTTCTCCCTTCCAGGTGTTCCATCAGTGCCTGCAGTGTCCTATGGCAGAGACAAGCCTTCACACATTGACATGACATCATCAGTGTACTGGGTTTATTTTACTGATATTGGCAAGATCAGGATACCTCTGGGACCACTACACCAGACCACACTGTGAAACTGTTTAGGGAGCCTTGCTGCAACACTTGTAAAATTTATTACTGTCCCACTTCACACTTACCAAAATCCAATACTTGAATCTATCTGCCTTTTCAGGGCAGCCAAATACAAGCAGGAGATTGCAGTGGAGAAAGGAAGTGGTTTAATATCGAATAGGCCAGTCTGGAGGACAGGGGGCTAATGGATGAAAGTCCAGCCCCCTAAATGGCTTGTCAGCTACAGATCCTATAGAGAGAGATCAGGACACTGTGAGTTAGAGATTTGGGTTCTGCTGGGAGCTGATTGGTCTGAGATGAGGTGAGGGTAACGAGTCACTGGTTTCTTGTCAGCTTGGTCAGCACCTTCTGGATCAGTCACCTTTCCTGATCCCCAACTCTGACCTTTGATTTGACTTATTCCCCGTCGGCCATACAGCCTCTGGCCAGGAAACAATTTGGGAGCCTTGCCGGAGAGGCAATGCCCGTGGCGGGCGAGTCCCGGCCGGGATTCCCTCCGCGAGTCCCGAACAGCGGCCAAGGCTGTATTGCATCAGGGACTAGGGAGGGTCATTATTCAACAGGTGCTGACCGCCCTGGGCATATGGCTCCTTTGGAATAAGGAAACATTCTTGGACTTTGCTCCACTGTTGGGGGAGTCCGCGTCCACAGCGGGATCCCCTCCCAGATGCCCGGTGTCCTCTCCCTGGGACAGTGTCATGAGCATGTCACATACTCTAAGGCAAGGACAGTAGTTCTATCCCGACTAGTTTGTGCTTCTGTGTCTTTGTGATCAGTTGGGCTCGACATGGAAGTCGGGTTCGTCTCCCCGGGTGGACAATCAGCGACTTCCTTCCTTCTGTATGGGCTTTTCCCCGAGGCTGGTCCCCTGTGTTTTGCCTCTGTTTGGGGGACTCTGTTGGAGACGGGGATGGCTGTGGGACTTGTACCTGATTCGTCAGCCGGTTCATTAGTGTTCATTCGTTTTGCATTTGACTGTGCACTTTGTAACCGGCCTAGTGGCCCTGAGGCTATGTTAAGAGTGTCCTCAATGTCTATATACGTGTGCTATCAATGTGAGGTGGTTTTCTACTTCTGGATGGTATCGTTAAAATTAATCGAAAGCCAAGAGCTTGTAACGATTGTGTTTTTAAAAATTCTCGGAATGAGAATTCACGTGATTGGGAAATATTTGATGTTAAAGCTGATTGGAGTAGGGTTTGGTTGAATGTGATGCAGGATAGGGAACTTTTTCCAAGTTGGGGAATCAAGCCCTGACCTGAGAGAGAAAATGGTCTTTGCCTGAGCGTGAGGAAGAATCAAACATACACCAAAGTTAGAGTCAGAAGGGAAGTTTCTTAGAGAAAGGGAAAAGCACAGACAGGGAAGAGCAAAGACAAAAAGCCAAGACAAGATAAAAGGTCTGGAGTCTTGGGGGATCTAGTTTATGTCATGTAAACTAGAGTTAGAGTTCTCGTGAGTTAGAGTTTAAAGACTTTTTACCCACTTTCCTTCAATATGGGCTGACAGTGAAGAAAGACAAGAGTGTGTAGCATGAAAAACCTGCTGGCAACTCCCAGCCTTTGATCTCTAGGTTCCTCATAGTTTTAGCCTTAGAGAATAAACTATTTTATTTTATGTAGGACACCACTGGAAGACTCTTTTCTTGTTTTCCCTTCACAGTGTGGGGAAATGGGTTGTTAGCAATCTCAGCAGAAATCTTCCTTTGTTCTGCAGATTTATCTTCGAATATAGCCTAATTTTTACATTTTAGTTCTCTTGCCCCCTTCCTACATGAAATAAACATGTCATTTTGAGTTATCAACATTGAATATTGGATTTTTGTTTTACTCGACTTTGCAACACTGGGATCATGTTATCTCTGTCACAAACTTGTCAGCAAAACAAAAAATAGCTTGGTATAATTGACATTAAAATGTCAGTATTAAGAACTAATGAATTAAATATATAATAAGAGATTCTTGATAAATTTTTCAATAAGAATAACATCAATGATATGTAGGCTTACACGGTTTTCCAAAATCTGTTGTTAACTTTAAATGTTAGAGTGTTACTAAGATAAATGATAAAAATTATTAAATAACTAGATATTTTGAATGAACATGAAGTACTGAAACATTAATTACTAAATTTACCTGCTTTGGCTTCTTAGTACAGAGAAACTGAAAGGTAAATATGGATCTTGTCCTTTATTTAAAATATATGTGTTTTTAAATTGTGAATATATTTGACCATTAAAGATCCTATGTTTTAAGAAAATATAAAATGTATTTATAAATTTGCCAATTTAAATAATGGTAATGGCATACTTTTTAGTTGTCAGTAGAAATTGAGGTTCTTAAGAGTTAAAATTTTAATTGACATAGAAAGGAATTATGTTTTTGGTAATAGAAGGTATAAGGTCTAGAGATACATTTTTGAAGTAAGGTAAAGAAAGTGGTTTGTCCTAATGGTTATTTCTGAATGAGCAAAAACACTAAAACTAAAATGTACTGGGGAAGTAGTACAAGGTTTGTAAAGAGAAATCAGAGGGAATTTTACAGGTGGTTAATCTGAATAAAATTAGAATGCAGTTAAGGAAGTAAATTTAAATATCAAAAGTAAGTTGATACAGAATAAGATTTGGTTGTTTTCTACTCTATTAAGAAGACCAATATTTTTCTCGCTGTATTTGACTCCAGATAATATATTATGACATCAGTTCTTCCTAGGAAACAAAGATTCCTTTTTATTAAAATAGTCCGTGTCTTAATCAGGTCCTGATTACTTAAGAAAACAATGATTTCAATCCTAGGAACTAAAGTTATACTACTAATAAACACCTATGTTTTTCTTTGATATTTTTTGTTACTTTGGATGGATAATTTAATAGTTTCATAATGTTATATGATCTTTTTGGTCAAGTGTGTTTGACAACTTTCCCAGAGTTTACATTTTAAAAGAAAACTTTTTCTTGACCTGGAAATGGCTTGGGATTACTCCCATGGGCCCCTGGAGTACTTCAAAGAGTTGTTGTCTCTGTTCCTATTAAGAATTTTCAAAGTAGTCAGGCCTATTTGATATACTAAAATTAATTGGGAAGCTTTGTCAAATACAACAATAATCATGTTGTGTTGTATGTATATACTATTATTGAAATGGTTGTTCTTGAGATCTAAACATCTCCAAGAATTTACAAAGTTTTGATATAATTGGCAATTCTAATTGTTTTCTTTAAATGTTAAATCGTACTCTGACAGTGGCTTGGTGGAGGTGGGGAGTATTATTCCCCACAGTAAAAACGAGTGTCAGAATACAATTTAAATCTAACGTAAGAAATCTTTTCCCGCAAGTTGTTTTTGAAATATCAACCTGCTTAATCTCTAAAATATCTGTATTTTTTATTTACACTTTCTATTATTTGTTGAATATCTACTGTTTTTCAGTATAATTGTCATTAATTCAAGAATATATTTGTAGAGTATCTGCTTTTATTTTTTCAATAGTTTTAATGAAAATATCGTGTATGTGATTCAAAACTATGCATTTTTGATATAGTTTTCTATATTGTTTCTTATGAAGCTATTATTTAGGTTTTCAAATAAGTTGTATACTAAGAACTGTAACTATGTTTTATGTTTCATTAAGAGTATATGTTAAAATGTCCCATTCTGGAGGATTAACTTATTCTTGTAATTTTGTCAATTATTTTATCTAAGGTTGACATTACCAATTCCGATAACTCGCCAGAATAGCACATTAAAAAAACTATCTCAGATTATTTCAATAAACCCAGGAAATAAACATTTTATGCTGTTCAGCACTTACCCATGACAAATTTCTTAGGAGTGTAGGAATAGATAAGAACTCTCACAACTTTTCGAAGGGCCTCGTCAAAAGAAATGTTTATAAAAGAACGCATATGTAAGTGGTCAGTGTGTTCAAGAAAATTATATACAAACAAGTATCCCCATCACTCCGGTCCCCTTCAGCAATAGACTAGATATCTTAGCCAGTGCCATGAGAAATGGGTAGAAATTTTATAAAGGAAGAACAAAGTAACATTTATTTTTCAGAGTTGAAACAATTGTGTTATGATACCTGAAACTATATATGGGTAACCATAGGCAAAGATTAGCAAGTTTTTTAGGATTATCACTAAGTAGTTATTATGTGAAGTGGAAACTTTATTACCTTAAACTTCATGTTCTTTCACATTAAAAAACTATCTAGGGGGCACGTGCTGTATCAGGAGCTTCACCCAGTTCCAGCACTTAAAAGAGGCTCTGCTGGGAATCCTGGCCCCCACCAGCAGGCCGTCCTGGGTAACACGAAAGTGAAGGAAACACAGGGAGAAATCCTCATGAACTCATATTCGGTAACCTGTCAAAGTTGACACCAAAAGCACAAGCAATGCAAGAGCAAATGTATAAATTGGACTTCATCAAAATTTAAGGGTTTTTTGTGCATCGGACTGTCAAGAGAGCGAAAAGACACCTCACAGAATCCTACAGGTGATAAGATTTTACCACTCAATACATAAAAACCTTCCATCTCAATAACAAAAATGCAAACAACCCACTTAACAGATAGGCAAAAGACTTGAATAGACATTTCTCCAAAGATTAACTACAAATGGTAGTAAACATGAGAAGATTCTCAACATCACTAATCACCGGGGGGATGCAAATCAAAACCAAAAGATGATACCATTTCTGTCCATTAGGATGTCTAAAATGAGACAAGTTAGGAAAAAGTATTGAGGATGTGGAGAAATTGGAGCCCATGGCCACTGCTCGTGGGAAGGTGAACTGGTGCAGCCACTGCGGAAGAGAGCTTGGTGGGTCCTCAAAAAGTTAAACATAGAATTACAATATGACCCTACTATTTCTCTCCTCCCTATACTGAAACAGGTACTCAGATATGTTACATGAATGTTCTTTGTAGCACTATTCAAAATGGACAGAAGGTGGATACATTCCCAACTCCTTCAATGGTTGAATGTTACCAGAGTTTGTCCACCTGTTTAGCAGCGCCAACACTTAACTCAGAATTCCAGTGGAGAAAGACTGGCTATTTTATTTTGAATGGTGCCACCCAGGAGAATTGGAAGCTAATGCTCAAAAGCCCAAACTCCTTGATGGTTTACAGACAAGGCGTTTTATAGAGCAAAATCACAAGACATCATAAATAATCTGAGCCTTGCAGACTGGTCAAGAGTGAAGTAAAGGCAGTAAACCATAAATTCAGGTCCTGAGATCAGCTTTGGCATCCCTCAGTCTGCTTTCATGGGGGATGTGGCCAGGCGTCGTCCACTGTAGGGCTCAGGAGCTGAAACATAACTTGGGCCATGATGTTATCTTTACCCATACCTGTGACCCTTAGTCAAGGCCTGGCCACTGTTTCCGGCTGCCTTGGGATTAATGACTAGTAAGGAAAGGGCTGAGGCTTACAGGGCGTGCTGGGAAGAAACTGTCCCACTTCCCCCGGTTTCGCGCCCCCCCCACTCCGCTCGGGCCCGTCACTCAGGCTTACTCTGTCCAATGAGGAAAGACGGAGGCGGGGCCGGAGCCTAATCGGGACCTCAGTGGCGGGGCCGAGGAACTTCCCAGTCAGGGAACCGGATGAAGGTCTCAAAAACAGGACAAGCCCGGCCGGGTGGTGTGACAGAGATCTGTCCAATCAGAATCCATAGGACGGGAGCGCCTGGAAATCCGTCCAATCATGTGGCGGGTTCCCGAAGCCCTGTCCAATCAGGGTGCGGGAGACCAAAGCATCGCGCATCCACCGCGGAGGGAGGCGGTCCTGCGCACCTGTGGGGAGCGGTCTGCGGCGTCCTGTCACAGTCGCTCACCTATCTCAGCTGCGGAGCCGTGAGGAGGACGCCGGGAGAGCTCCGTGCGCGGTCGCGAGATGGTGAGTGCGGTTGGGGTGGAGGCAGCGGGTGGTTCGAACCGGCCAGGACCGCCTGGAAGCGGCGCACGGCCCGGGCTCCCTGCGCCCTCCGAGGTCCCACCGCGTCTTCGCCCTCGGCCGCGGGGTGGGGTCCTGCGTCCTGTCCCGGTCCGGCGGAGGGGTCCCAGAGGCCCAACCGGTGTCCTTTGCCGGGCGGGGGACAGCGGAGGACGAGACGACCACCATGGTAGCCGTCAGAGGCTTCGGGCGGGGTGGACGCCAGGTGAGGGGACCCGCCCTGGATCTGACAGACAAGATCAAAATCAAGACTTGCTTAAAGAGACCTTATCCCAAGGATTGGAGCAATGGGGGCAGTGCTCGGATCTGAGAGATGCGCGTCCCAAATCAGAGAGAAAAGGGCCCGTGTGTGTGGACGATGAGCAGAAGGCGCTGTGACAGGAACCGTCCCCGCGTATTCAGCACCCTCTCTGCTCAGATCGGCGGGGCCTTGTCTGCGTCTCGGTGCTTGTTCAGAGGGGCGGGAGCCATGTGTGGGCCTGTGGGAAGGACAGGAGCCGGAGTAAAGTTTGGGTAAGAAACGGGCGATTGTCAAGCCTTGGTCCAGCCTATGGAATATGAAAAATCCAGGCTTTAAGTAGGGATGTTCATTCAAAAGAATAACCGCAAGGGGTGGGGATAGGGACTGTGCCCTGGGGACAGGGACTGTGCAGTGGGGACAGCGCTGTGACCATATGATCTGCAGGCATCTCGAGAGTTGGGTGTTTTGAGTTTTCCCTTTGTAGAGAGGCGTGAACAAAAGGAGGAAAGACCAAGTATGGTTGGGATGGCAGGTCCCCGGCCAGCCTGACCTTAGGAGGGCTGTCTGGGGGCTCAGGCTGAGCACAGACCAAGGTCAGAGTTGTGAGTTTGGGAGAGATACTGAACTACATCCGGGCAACACGCATTTGCTCTGCTTCGACGAACAATACAGCTAATCATTTAGGACTCAGAATGAGGGTGTGAGTGTCTGCCTCTGACCTTGACATAGGTAAACATGGGAGATATCTGAGAGTCTTATCTAAGTCGGATGATGAAAGGGGGCAGGTTCCTCTCACCTCCATCAAGGACTCCAGGAGCACAGGGCTCAGCAGGACTCAACATTGTCACCTGACCCCTGAGAGCAGTGTTCTGTGTCCAGCTCAGCACTGAGAGCTTTCCCTTATTCCGCCCTCAGGTTTCAGCAGATGTAAAGACGTGACAGCTCTTTTTGCCTCATTTTTTATCCTTACTGACAGTCGTGTGTGTCTCAGGTCTTTCTCCTATTGAATTGTAACCCGTGATGGTTGGTTCGACATCGTCCACAGAGTTGGTGGTGTTTCGTGTGGTTTGTGCAAACTGAGTGAATCTGTGAAGGTCAGACTTAGGGAGCGAACCTTTGGATTTTACTAGGAGAGAAATTGATGTATTTGAGAGTTACCTGGGGTCGGAAATAAACTGATTCCAACTGAGTGTTTCCTCCTTGGTGAGCACTGAAGTCCTGTGGGGAGAGTCCCAACTGAGGAGGGAGCGGGCTGTGGGGATCCAGAGTTTTGTCCTCTGAGGTTTAGGGTCCCTTTATTCCTTCCCTGATAGGGGTCACCTTGGGCTACCTGTGAGCACGGAGTTCTCGGCCCCCACTCGGATGGGCTTTGACCTCTGACTTGGCGTCCCCTGTGCGCTGTGGGAGGCCGGCTGTTGATCTGAGCTGCACACACCAGTCGCTCTGCTCTTCTGTTTCCTGGAGAGGATAGAAATTTCTATTAAGGCAACTTTGGGATCACCATTTTCACCTTGTGTTGAAAGGAAACTTGGAAATTCCCAGAAACTTTAATGTCCTTTAGAAATAAAACACAGTGCTTCCAGGTCCATCTTGGGTCCTTGTTGGCGCTCATTGAATCCTTGACAGTCGGCTACCAAGGCAGGTATGGGCACCTGGGGAGGAGACGAACTGGTTTCTTTCAAAACGTCACTGTGCAGGGAACTGAAATTTATTTTTGCGTGT